CCAGATTGTAGCCCAGTGCCGTGGTTGTGTCGACTCACTGATACCAGATTGTAGCCCAGTGCCGTGGTTGTGTCGACTCACTGTTACCAGTTGTAGCCCAGTGCCGTGGTTGTGTCGACTCACTGTTACCAGATTGTAGCCCAGTGCCGTGGTTGTGTCATTTTCACTGATACCAGATTGTAGCCCAGTGCCGTGGTTGTGTCGACTCACTGATACCAGATTGTAGCCCAGTGCCGTGGTTGTGTCGACTCACTGTTACCAGTTGTAGCCCAGTGCCGTGGTTGTGTCGACTCACTGTTACCATTTGTAGCCCAGTGCCGTGGTTGTGTCGACTCACTGATCCAGTTGTAGCCCAGTGCCGTGGTTGTGTCGACTCACTGTTACCAGTTGTAGGCCAGTGCCGTGGTTGTGCCGACTCACTGATACCAGTTGTAGCCCAGTGCCGTGGTTGTGTCGACTCACTGTTACCAGTTGTAGGCCAGTGCCGTGGTTGTGTCGACTCACTGATCCAGTTGTAGCCCAGTGCCGTGGTTGTGTCGACTCACTGATACCAGTTGTAGCCCAGTGCCGTGGTTGTGTCGACTCACTGATACCAGTTGTAGCCCAGTGCCGTGGTTGTGTCGACTCACTGTTACCAGGTTGTAGCCCAGTGCCGTGGTTGTGTCGACGCACTGTTACCAGTTGTAGCCCAGTGCCGTGGTTGTGTCGACTCACTGTTACCAGTTGTAGCCCAGTGCCGTGGTTGTGTCGACGCACTGTTACCAGTTGTAGCCCAGTGCCGTGGTTGTGTCGACTCACTGTTACCAGTTGTAGCCCAGTGACGTGGTTGTGTCGACTCACTGTTACCAGTTGTAGCCCAGTGCCGTGGTTGTGTCGACTCACTGATCCAGTTGTAGCCCAGTGCCGTGGTTGTGTCGACTCACTGTTACCAGTTGTAGGCCAGTACCGTGGTTGTGTCGACTCACTGATACCAGTTGTAGCCCAGTGCCGTGGTTGTGTCGACTCACTGTTACCAGGTTGTAGCCCAGTGCCGTGGTTGTGTCGACTCACTGATACCAGTTGTAGCCCAGTGCCGTGGTTGTGTCGACTCACTGTTACCAGTTGTAGCCCAGTGGTGTGGTTTTGTGTATGTCTTGCTCTTCATAGGTGGCATTGGTGACGGATTTGTTCATCTTGTTGCAGGTTCCAGCTACACCATGTTTCCATCTATTTCTTGGTCCCACACTCGTCTTTCTCCCGTATGTTCTGCTGTAAAAGTCTCATGTTCAGTTTGGCCTGGTTGCTTTCTCACTAGATGGTCGAACCATTTCATTCTTTGTCAATATAATTCTTAACACAGTCTTATTCTACTTCCTCTCTAATGCTTGTATTGGTAACCCTGACCTTTCTTGTGTTATAAGTGACCTTACAGAGACAGCGCTTTGTTTTGTGGTAGTGCCCTATTCATTGCCCATGTGTGGTAGTGCCCTATTCATTGCCTATGTGTGGTAGTGCCCTATTCATTGCCCATGTGTGGTAGTGCCCTATTCATTGCCCATGTGTGGTAGTGCCCTATTCATTGCCCATGTGTGGTAGTGCCCTATTCATTGCCCATGTGTGGTAAGGCCCTATTCATTGCCCATGTGTGGTAGTGCAATATTCATTGCCTATGTGTGGTAGTGCCCTATTCATTACCCATGTGTGGTAGTGCCCTATTCATTACCCATGTGTGGTAGTGCCCTATTCATTGCCCATGTGTGGTAGTGCCCTATTCATTACCCATGTGTGGTAGTGCCCTATTCATTGCCCATGTGAGGTAGTGCCCTATTCATTGCCCATGTGTGGTAGTGCCCTATTCATTGCCTATGTGCGGTAGTGCCCTATTTATTGCCCATGTGTGGTAGTGCCCTATTCATTGCCTATGTGTGGTAGTGCCCTATTCATTGCCTATGTATGGTAGTTCCCTATTCATTGCCCATGTGTGGACAGCTCAGACATAGATTAATACAACGTGCAGCAAAAGTATGGGTCGTCAGAGCTGACATATACAACCCACATAGCCAGCTGTGTCAGAGTCAGTGCCTGTCCCACAGCTGTGTCAGTGTCAATGCCACCAGGAAAATGTCTGTCCCACAGGTGTGCCAGTGTCAATGCCACCAGGATAATGTCTGTCCCACAGGTGTGCCAGTGCCACCAGGATAATGCCTGTCCTGCAGGTGTGCCAGCGACACCAGGATAATGTCTGCCCAAAAGGTGTCCTCTCACACACTGGCATGTTTGCACCAACTGTGTCCTTCCATACACCAGCTTGTAATGTTTGCACCAACTGTGTCCTTCCATACACCAGCTTGTAATGTTTGCACCAACTGTGTCCTTCCATACACCAGCTTGTAATGTTTGCACCAGCTGTGTCCTTCCATACACCAGCTTGTAATGTTTGCACCAACTGTGTCCTTCCATACACCAGCTTGTAATGTTTGCACCAACTGTGTCCTTCCATACACCAGCTTGTAATGTTTGCACCAACTGTGTCCTTCCATACACCAGCTTGTAATGTTTGCACCAACTGTGTCCTTCCATACACCAGCTTGTAATGTTTGCACCAACTGTGTCCTTCCATACACCAGCCATGGGAGACACTGGAAGAGAGGTTTATAGACATATGGCTGGCCCTGATCCTAATGACAGCATTAACCATCTAACAAGAAGGGACCAGGCCACCATCTTCAGACTTAGAAAGCAACATGCTCCACTCAATGGACATCTAAACAGAATACAGCCACAACACTCCCCAGAGTGCCAGCTATGTAACTACCCCTACGAAACTGTTGAACACCATCTCTTTGAGTGCCCAGAACTCAGTGAGACAAGAAGAACGCTACTCCCTCCGAGACCAGACAAGTGGAACACCTTGTACGAAGGAAAAGAACAGCTTGTGAAAACATGCAAATTCCACTACACGGCATTGGGCCAAAGGGCAAAAGCTCATGCGCCACTGGATCGATAACAACAACAACAACAACAACAACACACCAGCTTGAAATGTTTGTACCAAAACTTTCCTCCCACACACTGCCATATAATGTCTACCACGTAGCGGGCGACGGTACTTGTACCCAAAATCTCCAGCCACTAGACTTTTCGGTGTTTGCTGCACGTATAAACAAACGTTCATGTCACTACATTACCCCTCGTTGCGCCAGGCATCATTAGCGGACGAAATGTGTCAATCCAGCCCAAACTGGCGAACATCTGTTCAATCTCCCGGCTCAGTTATGTAAATGGTATACACAACTGGGGCATCTAGAGCGTCACATAATGTGCTAAACGATTACACTGACTTTCAAATATCATGATTGGGAGACTGCTAGTATAAAGACGATTACACTGACTGTCAAATATCAGGATTGGGAGATCGAAAGTATAAAGAGGATTACACTGACTGTCGAATGTCCGGATTGGGAGACTGCTAGTATAAAGACGATTACACTGACTGTCGAATGTCCGGATTTGGAGACCGTTAGTATAAAGACGATTACACTGACTGTCGAATGTCCGGATTGGGAGACCGTTAGTATAAAGACGATTACACTGACTGTCGAATGTCCGGATTGGGACACAACTAGTATAAAGATGATGAGACATACAATATAGAGATGGTATGACACAGTGTAAAGAATAATAAAACATACATATACAGATCATGGGGCATACAGTATATAGAAAATGATAAATAAGTCGGACAAAAACCGTTGAACATCGCTACAGAACTAATATACTAGCCAGTATGTCCCTACATTAGAACTATTGAAACAGAACTAATATTCTAGGCCAATGTCCCTACATTAGAACATCAGAACAGAACTAATACTCTAGGCCAATGATGTCCCTACATTAGAACATCAGAACAGAACTAATGTTCTAGGCCAATGTCCCTACATTAGAACTATTGAAACAGAACTAATGTTCTAGGCCAGTGTCCCTACATTAGAACAGAACTAATGTTCTAGGCCAATGTCCCTACATTAGAACATCAGAACAGAACTAATGTTCTAGGCCAATGTCCCTACATTAGAACATCAGAACAGAACTAATGTTCTAGGCCAGTGTCCCTACATTAGAACATCAGAACAGAACTAATGTTCTAGGCCAATGTCCCTACATTAGAACATCGGAACAGAACTAATGTTCTAGGCCAATGTCCCTACATTAGAACAGAACTAATGTTCGAGGCCAATGTCCCTACATTAGAACATCAGAACAGAACTAATGTTTTAGGCCAATGTCCCTACATTAGAACATCAGAACAGAACTAATGTTCTAGGCCAATGTTCCTACATTAGAACATCAGAACAGAACTAATGTTCTAGGCCAATGTCCCTACATTAGAACATCAGAATAGAACTAATGTTCTAGGCCAGTGTCCCTACATTAGAACCTCAGAACAGAACTAATGTTCTAGGCCAGTGTCCCTACATTAGAACTATTGAAACAGAACTAATGTTCTAGGCCAGTGTACCTACATTAGAACTATTGAAACAGAACTAATGTTCTAGGCCAGTGTACCTATATTAGAACATCAGAACAGAACTAATGTTCTAGGCCAGTTTACCTACATTAGAACATCAGAACAGAACTAATGTTCTAGGCCAGTGTACCTACATTAGAACATCAGAACTAATGTTCTAGGCCAATGTCCCTACATTAGAACATCCGAACAGAACTAATGTTCTAGGCCAATGTCCCTACATTAGAACATCAGAACAGAACTAATGTTCTAGGCCAATGTCCCTACATTACAACATCGGAACAGAACTAATGTTCTAGGCCAATGTCCCTACATTAGAACATAACGAGTTAAGTTGATGTTATCTCATTGTTGCCTTTTACTTTTGTCTCTTCATCTGCGATAAGAAAATTTACAAAGTAAAACTTACATCCTCACAGGTGAGACAAGAAACGTTATACAAAGTAAACTTATATCTCTACAGGTGAGACAAGAAACATTGCAATGTAAACAGATGACGGAGACAGCCAAATCGCTGTCCCAACAAAACCGGAAACAGCTGGTTGCTCTGTTGGTGGGAATTATTATCCTGTTCTTCGTCTGCTTGCTTCCCTTCCGTCTGATGGCCCTATGGGAGACTTTCTTCCCTAACGACAGCGTCCTTCAGGTGGGTGCAGAATCCTACCTCAACATCATCTACTTCTGCCGTCTGCTGGTCTACGTCAACAGCGCCGGTAACCCCATCATCTACAACCTGGTGTCCACTAAATTCAGGCGGGCTTTCCAGAAAGTTCTTCGGCTGTACTGCTGCTGCTGTCGGAAGAGGCTGGTCCTGAACAGGCAGGCCATCAGCGTGACATCCTCACACGGCACCCGCCTGACCACAATGTCCCACTATACGGCCATCAGACAGGAACAGCAGGATACCTGCAGGAGAGTACAGGACACCTGCAGGACAGCCCATGCTGTCTGAACTGTTCCTGCTGTCCAACGTTCGTCAGCACTGCTACATGTTTCCAGTGCAGCTGACTTTCATTGTTCCCAGATCTAGCAGTCTGTCGACAACCAGCAGCTGCCGGTGTCAGAGGTGATGACCCTGCCCGTGTCAGAGGTGATGACCCTGCCCGTGTCAGAGGTGATGACCCTGCCCGTGTCAGAGGTGATGACCCTGCCCGTGTCAGAGGTGATGACCGGTTGACTTTCATTGTGCCCAGATCTAGCAGTCCGTCGACAACCAGCAGCTGCCCGTGTCAGAGGTGATGACCGGCTGGCTTTCACAGCTATGTGATGTGACTGATGACCGGCTGGCTTTCACAGCTATGTGATGTGACTGATGACCGGTTCGCTTTCACAGCTATGTGATGTGACTGATGACCGGTTCGCTTTCACAGCTATGTGATGTGACTGATGACCGGTTCGCTTTCACAGCTATGTGATGTGACTGATGACCGGCTGGCTTTCACAGCTATGTGATGTGACTGATGACCGGCTGGCTTTCACAGCTATGTGATGTGACTGATGACCGGTTCGCTTTCACAGCTATGTGATGTGACTGATGACCGGTTCGCTTTCACAGCTATGTGATGTGACTGATGACCGGTTCGCTTTCACAGCTATGTGATGTGACTGATGACCGGTTCGCTTTCACAGCTATGTGATGTGACTGATGACCGGTTCGCTTTCACAGCTATGTGATGTGACTGATGACCGGTTCGCTTTCACAGCTATGTGATGTGACTGATGACCGGCTGGCTTTCACAGCTATGTGATGTGACTGATGACCGGTTCGCTTTCACAGCTATGTGATGTGACTGATGACCGGTTCGCTTTCACAGCTATGTGATGTGACTGATGACCGGTTCGCTTTCACAGCTATGTGATGTGACTGATGACCGGTTCGCTTTCACACAGCTATGTGATGTGACTGATGACCGGTTCGCTTTCACAGCTATGTGATGTGACTGATGACCGGTTCGCTTTCACAGCTATGTGATGTGACTGATGACCGGTTCGCTTTCACAGCTATGTGATGTGACTGATGACCGGTTCGCTTTCACAGCTATGTGATGTGACTGATGACCGGTTCGCTTTCACAGCTATGTGATGTGACTGATGACCGGCTGGCTTTCACAGCTATGTGATGTGACTGATGACCGGTTCGCTTTCACAGCTATGTGATGTGACTGATGACCGGTTCGCTTTCACAGCTATGTGATGTGACTGATGACCGGTTCGCTTTCACAGCTATGTGATGTGACTGATGACCGGTTCGCTTTCACAGCTATGTGATGTGACTGATGACCGGTTCGCTTTCACAGCTATGTGATGTGACTGATGACCGGTTCGCTTTCACAGCTATGTGATGTGACTGATGACCGGCTGGCTTTCACAGCTATGTGATGTGACTGATGACCGGCTGGCTTTCACAGCTATGTGATGTGACTGATGACCGGTTCGCTTTCACAGCTATGTGATGTGACTGATGACCGGTTCGCTTTCACAGCTATGTGATGTGACTGATGACCGGTTCGCTTTCACAGCTATGTGATGTGACTGATGACCGGTTCGCTTTCACAGCTATGTGATGTGACTGATGACCGGTTCGCTTTCACAGCTATGTGATGTGACTGATGACCGGTTCGCTTTCACAGCTATGTGATGTGACTGATGACCGGCTGGCTTTCACAGCTATGTGATGTGACTGATGACCGGCTGGCTTTCACAGCTATGTGATGTGACTGATGACCGGTTCGCTTTCACAGCTATGTGATGTGACTGATGACCGGTTCGCTTTCACAGCTATGTGATGTGACTGATGACCGGTTCGCTTTCACAGCTATGTGATGTGACTGATGACCGGTTCGCTTTCACAGCTATGTGATGTGACTGATGACCGGTTCGCTTTCACAGCTATGTGATGTGACTGATGACCGGTTCGCTTTCACAGCTATGTGATGTGACTGATGACCGGTTCGCTTTCACAGCTATGTGATGTGACTGATGACCGGTTCGCTTTCACAGCTATGTGATGTGACTGATGACCGGTTCGCTTTCACAGCTATGTGATGTGACTGATGACCGGCTGGCTTTCACAGCTATGTGATGTGACTGATGACCGGCTGGCTTTCACAGCTATGTGATGTGACTGATGACCGGTTCGCTTTCACAGCTATGTGATGTGACTGATGACCGGTTCGCTTTCACAGCTATGTGATGTGACTGATGACCGGTTCGCTTTCACAGCTATGTGATGTGACTGATGACCGGTTCGCTTTCACAGCTATGTGATGTGACTGATGACCGTTCGCTTTCACAGCTATGTGATGTGACTGATGACCGGTTCGCTTTCACAGCTATGTGATGTGACTGATGACCGGTTCGCTTTCACAGCTATGTGATGTGACTGATGACCGGTTCGCTTTCACAGCTATGTGATGTGACTGATGACCGGTTCGCTTTCACAGCTATGTGATGTGACTGATGACCGGTTCGCTTTCACAGCTATGTGATGCGACTGTTCAACTTTATATACGAAATGATATGATGTTAGAAAAAACACTAGTATCATACTCGAAGCAGCACCAAAATCAATCCCCTGAAGTCGAAGGCAAAACTATGAACCCTTCTGGATCCAAGAACTGCAACAACTGCACCAAAGAAGCACTGAAGCAAGAGAGAAAATGGAACAAAATCCCTCTGACCTCAACGTAACAGAACACAATAAACATCAGGCTATTTATAAAAGATAAAAACTCACATGTATCCGGACAAGATGGCAGGAAAAGACTGCAGCTCTCAACATGGAGAAAGATGGGAAAAAAGCTATGGCATCTAGTAAAGAGTCTCAATGAGGAGAATAATACCAGCCGTGCCCACACTGCCATTGAAGATGGTGGGAAAACGTTCATTGGTAAACAAGCAGCAAACCTGCTGGCTGATAGTTTTGCAGGGGAAAGCAAAATCTTCATGTCTAGAGCGAGAAAAGAAGGAGTGATGAGAGAACTGAGGAAAATCAACACACAAAAACCAAGAAGATAACCAAGATATAATGATGAATAAACTCTTCAGTCCCCAAGTACGAATGCACATTAAGAAAAGGAAGGCACTTGGACCTGATCGAATAACAAATGAAATGACAGTACACTTAGGACCAGCTGATAGGTAAGGACTCTTAGACCTTATCAATCATTCCTGGACCCAGGGTCTGGTTCCTAAGGAATAGGAGGAGGCAGAAAACAAGAAAGGAAAGCCTTAAACATATTTAGTTACCGCCCCATAAGCTGCCTTAAAAATAAAATTCAACAAAAATTTGAGTAAAATTCAACAAAGGACTAACCTAGGGTCCTCAGACACCCAAAGGAAAGCTACCCTGAAGCTCAGACTTACTGGAAACAACTGGGTTGCAGATGCCAACACTGTATGACAAGAATACACGGGATATGTTCAGCCAAAACCAGAGTATGACATGGGAGCATACTCTACTGCAGCCAAATCAAAACTACATAAACTGGACAAAATGCAGAACACTGGTCTCAGAATCATCACTGGAGGTATGAGAAGCACACCAATCCATGATCTTCTCTACAACATAAAGTTTTCTGTGAACCTGGCTACAACATAATGTTGTCTGGAAACCTAACTACAACATAAAGTTGTATGTGAACCCGGCTACAACGTAATGTTGTCTGTGAACCTAACTACAACATAATGTTGTCTGGAAACCTAACTACAACATGATGTTGTCTGGAAACCTAACTACAACATAAAGTTGTCTGTGAACCTGGCTACAACTTAATTTTGTCTGTGAAGATAACTACAAAATAATGTTGTCTGTGAACCTGGATACAACATAATGTTGTCTGTGAACCTGGCTACAATACAGTCTTGTCTGTGAACCTTGCTACAACATTGTCTGTGAACCTGGCTACAACATAATGTTGTCTGTGAATCTGGCTACAACATAACATTGTCTGTGAACCTGGCTACAACATAACATTGTCTGTGAACCTGGCTACAACATAACATTTCAAGTTCCACTGGTTCCAGACTGGAAGCTGATGTTTCCGATCTGCTAGCAGTTTCTCTTGTAGGGCTCTCTGTAGAGCAGCTGATGTTTCTGATCTGCTAGCAGTTTCTCTTGTAGGGCTCTCTGTAGAGCAACTGATGTTTCTGATCTGCTAGCAGTTTCTCTTGTAGAGCTCTCTGTAGAGCAACTGATGTTTCTGATCTGCTAGCAGTTTCTCTTGTAGAGCTCTCTGTAGAGCAGCTGATGTTTCTGATCTGCTAGCAGTTTCTCTTGTAGGGCTCTCTGTAGAGCAGCTGATGTTTCTGAGCCGCTAGCAGTTTCTCTTGTAGGGCTCTCTGTAGAGCAGCTGATGTTTCTGAGCCGCTAGCAGTTTCTCTTGTAGGGTTCTCTGTAGAGCAACTGATGTTTCTGATCTGCTAGCAGTTTCTCTTGTAGAGCTCTCTGTAGAGCAACTGATGTTTCTGATCTGCTAGCAGTTTCTCTTGTAGAGCTCTCTGTAGAGCAGCTGATGTTTCTGAGCCGCTAGCAGTTTCGCTTGTAGGGCTCTCTGTAGAGCAGCTGATGTTTCTGAGCCGCTAGCAGTTTCTCTTGTAGAGCTCTCTGTAGAGCAACTGATGTTTCTGAGCCGCTAGCAGTTTCTCTTGTAGGGCTCTCTGTAGAGCAACTGATGTTTCTGATCCCCTAGCAGTTTCTCTTGTAGGGCTCTCTGTAGAGCAGCTGATGTTTCTGAGCCGCTAGCAATTTCTCTTGTAGGGCTCTCTGTAGAGCAGCTGATGTTTCTGAGCCGCTAGCAGTTTCTCTTGTAGAGCTCTCTGTAGAGCAACTGATGTTTCTGAGCCGCTAGCAGTTTCTCTTGTAGGGCTCTCTGTAGAGCAACTGATGTTTCTGATCCCCTAGCAGTTTCTCTTGTAGGTCTCTCTGTAGAGCAGCTGATGTTTCTGAGCCGC